CAGAACCAAAGCCAAGAGAGCCCATGGTTGTGGTGGAGCTGTCACCACTTTATAATGTGAGTTAAAAACATAAAACAAACTCTTTTATTGCATGCAAATATCAGCACACACCCTCAATAACCTAAGGGAATATCCTCCATCTTTAAAATCTTCCACTCTGCAGATTTATTTACCATAGCCGCCAGAACATGTTCTTATTTATATCAAATCACAACAGATATGTAAACAATTGTGTGTAGCACTGTCTAATGCAGCGGTTTGCATTTTAGGGACACTTAGACTGAACAATTCTTGGCTGACGGCCCGAGTTTGGTGGTAACAGAAAGTTCTGCAGGCTATAAAGCTCCATGGAGCTGATCCAATTGGCTGAACAATCGCAGACCTTTGTTGAGTCTCTTTGTTTTAATGTCAAAGTCTCGTGGTCTCCATTCAGTTTATGAGTGTGTGATCATTTAAAACTAGTTTTTAGTCTTTGGTGGACGGGTTTGTTTGTGGAGAGGTGTGGTTTAAATAGTTTTGGGTCACCATTCTCAGCTCACCTCACCAATGTTGACCAGACAGTTAAGAGGTCAGGCTTTTCATTTACGAGTATTGTCCATCTCCTGTCGCTGTTCCGTCCATTTTAAATGGCCAGTTTTTATAAAGTTATGGTATTTTCATTATGCTATGAAACCATCCTCTCGTGCTGCCTTGTACCACTTATGGCAAGGAGAACATGTTCTGCAGGCCCCATTCTCACTGGCTAAGGAGGATGTCTTAATACTGAATACTATCACGCTGCGTTGTTCTGCAAACCGGAGGTTCCCGCTGAGGACAGGCACTTGTCTGGCACACAGTGCAGCAAGGGCATAGCAGATGCTCACGAGCACATAACCAGTGGTTACGGGACCAATGTTTTCCTTCTCAAAAGGGTTCTTCAGAGTTTCAGTGCTTCAATTCCCTGAGTTTGAGGGGATTTACAAGAGATTTAATCAATACAAAAGGGAGGCAGGAGGTTTAAAGTTTACTGGACTTTGACTGTCCGTCTTTTCCTCTTTCTGACCCAACTAAAAAGATTAATAAGTATAATTTGTCTCAGCCCATTACCATTAAATATGGTAAACCTTTATGGTGACAATCTGTCAATGCAGTCAAAAGTCAGTGTCCAAAATGTCCTAAAACCTTTCCTTTCAGGATTGCTAGGGACTGGCTGACATTCTGTCTGAATTTTAAAAATGTTTAAAACATTTGCAAAACAAATATTGCCTCTAATTAGTTGTTGAATTGTCATGCGTGCTGGGAACCCGTCTCAACCCTCTCGTGCACTTCGTAATTTAGTTTCCACTCATGAGGAATATGTGAGAAGTGGGAGGTTTTGGGAGGGATGTGGTGAATAATTGCAGATAAAATGAGTGTAAACTTAAAATAACTTGAGGCATATGTCAGATATGCTGAGATTAAAGTGCAATAAAACATTCTGCACAGAAGTCTAATCGTAGGTCCCATTGTATCGATTGTTCTACCCAACCAAATCAGTGCATTCAGAGGTTCCAAAGAGATGTACCCGAGTTTGATACGGAGGAACTTGGTCCTGACATCTACCCAACACAACACCTTCATCATAGAGATGACTCTAGCAAGATCTTCCAGTTCAGCATCAGCTCCTGATCCGCCAGCGTGCTTCTGAACGAATGGTCACAAACTCATGACTACACCCATAAAGCTCGTTAGAAGCCTTCCCAGAAATAAATGATAAATGACCCGCACTTGTATAGCGCCTCTCAGAGTAAGGACTCCAAAGCGCTTTACACTACAGTGTATCATTCATCCATTCACACACATTCACACACTGGTGGGGATGAGCTACAATGTAGCCACAGCTGCCCTGGGGTGCGCTGACAGAGGCGAGGCTGCCGAGCACTGGCGCCACCGGTCCCTCCGACCACCACCAGCAGGCAAGGTGGGTTAACTGTCTTGCCCAAGGACACAACAGCAGAATTCTCTGTCCAGAGCCGGGATCAAACCTGCAACCTTCCGATTACTGGATAACCCGCTCAACCTGTTGAGCTACTGCTGCCCCAAATAGGGTGCAAGAGTTCATTTGCGGGAATTTGTGACCATCTTTTCTGAAGCAAATGTGTGAGGTCAGATACCGATGGAAACAACCTGGATCACATTATTTAACAATGCCACCGCATGTTTAAAATGGCTGCCACACATTACTTGCTTTGATTTGAAGGGTTCTTTGTGTGAGTCCCCTGAAACTATAGCAACACAGCAGTATATGGGTAACCAGTAGGTGGAGTTAACAAAACGAGCAAGACACATTATGGTGACTCCGTCACTAGTTTAGAAGTATTTCTACAATACAGCTGCTGTCTTTTCTTCTGTTGTTACTTTAAAATGACCAGTTACTGAGCTCTCTATTCGATCTGAGTTCTCTAATGTGCCCCTAGTGGAACACTCCAGTACTACGTGCAGTGTGTTGCTGTGTAGCAGCAAGTATGTGATCAAACATGCAGCCTGCTGCCTGCACCAACGAGAGGTGAAATAGCAAATATATCGCGACCCTAAGTGTTCAAGCATGATAAGAATCTGTGCAGGCCACTCGTTTCTCCGCATCAGACAAACTCAATGCACTGATTTGATGGGGGTCCCATTACATTTAGCAATGCACTGTAACTAAAGTTCAGTGTCAAACATTCTCATTCTGAGTTTGCACATGTTCATGCAAACCAGACCCCTGTGACCCAGCACACAATCGAGCAAGTCTAGAAGTGGATGGATACAATATTTATTTCCAAAGTAGCACACAGGCTTTAGCTGAGGTTTCTATGGAGGCATCGTGTAACTCCACAAACTTTTCTCCAACTCATCCAAAAGATTTGAGGTCAGTGGTGGCCAACCAGTGCGTGAAAATGATGTCTAATGCTCCCAGAACCACTCTTCGACAGTTTGAGCCTGATGAGTCCTGGCATTGTCATCTTAGAATATGTCTGTGCTGTCAAGGAAGAAAAAGAAATCCCATTGATGGAAAACCTTGTGGTTAAATACATTCAGGTTCTCAGCTGACCTGGTTTTTTAAAGAATACTTTATTAAGCTGAAACCAGACCTGACCAATTGAAGCAACTCAGCTCTGCCTCCACATGGCTGTACCTTACAGTCTCACATTTCTCGCTTGATTGGTTCCTGCCAATCACACTGGAGACCAATACATCTACACGTATGAATCCACAACGCTTCTCTTTTTCATTTCTCTAATCTAAGTGTTGTTTTTATTGTTCGAGTCATATGTTTGTTTTATCTCGACATCTCGTTGTGTGTCATTAAATGCTTGTAATTAAACTGGCAGTACCCTGAGTTCAGCTGTAGGCACCGTGCGAGTGCTGGAGAGAGGTACCAGCTCTCCACACCCCTGATAGGAAGTTGCAGTTCCAGAAGATGATGAGTGGAAATAAACAATGTTTAATGTTTGAATCACAGCATCTGTAGCAATACACTCTAATACAAATTTTAAACATTTGTAAAAAAGGATTTTTAGGTGAGGACTTTATGGAAACCCTTAAAGTGTTCTGTTCTGTTTTTAAGAAAAATAAGGCTTTTGTCTCAGCTTTGTATTTACTCAGAAGCCGCCTTCTGGCTGATTTCCTGTAGAAATGCTTACTATTTTCAACAATGGGTTTCCTTTGTGTTTCTTTCTAAAAAGAAAATGTTCCTCCTCGCCTCCTGTACACATGTTACATATTCACAAAGACAATATTGCTTGATTAATGGAAAATCTGGGTTGTTTTGGAAACAATAGTACGGACTGGGTGAGAACAGAGAGAAGTAGAGAGAGAACACAAAAGGCTTGATTCTACCTGTGGGGACCAAAGAAAGCAAAGATATATGAGTCGTTGCTGCGCTTTTTAGCAAACCGCAAGCTAATGGGTTTAAATTAAATTCTTGTTTCATTTAGTTAGTTTTTCCACACATTGGTATTTTACTATTGTTGGATTTTAAAGGCTTTGATTGTTTCATTCATTCGTTTGTAAATTCATCCATTCATTCATACACATGCTGCCTTTTTTATTGATCTTTGAAAGTATTGAAACAGAATTGAAGTACGATGAGCTGTGGTTTGGAAAGTGTGAACATTTATGAAAGGGGTTGATGAGCTCCATGATCGTGGTGTTCTACACACACGTGGGTAGAAACTCCAGGAGACGGACCAGTTTGGAAGTCATTTTCAAGTTCAAGCTGTTCCACTTAAAGGACAACACTTGGCTCATCTAATGTGATGGGAGATGGCTTTAGGTCATCTGGCCATCTCCTACTGCTGGGCAGTCGGGTTCTTTATGGCCTGAGATGTTTCTTCAAAGCATTCAAAAAGCCCTGGATGTCTTTTATGTTTACAGAATTTCACAAAAAACACCATATTGGTCCAGTCTCTAATCCATCATCTGTTATCAGATTCCTGCCATCTAGTCATCCTAATCCATTGTAATTTCACAGCTCTGAGTTTAGGACCTTAAAACTAAGAACCTCAGTGATGCCTGAGATATTTTGTATAGATGGTGTCATTTCTTTTGGCCTTTGGCTTTAATCTTAGTAAAAGGAGGATCTGCCCGTCTGTTCAAACAGGATGGGATTGTTTAGTTGTTTTTGCCACTCGCTCATTAGAGTCATCATAATGCAACCGGTTTTTTTGTTTTTGTTAGATGGGACCTTTGCAGCAGTAGAGCTGTTTGATAACTGATGCTCTGGAGAGGAAGAACGTGTCCACAGAGTGTTGAGGAGCAGTCACTGGTTGTGTACTTTCTCTAATCAACAATCATACCAGATTACAGCAATCCCTCGTTTATCGCGGTAGATGCATTCCAGACCTGGCCGCGATAGGTGAAAATCTGCGAAGTAGGGACTCCCAGCATGCCCCTCGCGGGGATTCCCTCCACGTCGCACCTACGTCACAAACCGCGGCTATAAACGGAAGTCGCCTTTCCAGCTCACCACTCAGTCATCATTTCTTCAGATTCATGATCAGAGTTTCCAACCTACCAATCAATCCAACGAACTGTCAGCTCATAGTAAGTTATCTTACTTGCTTCTGTGTCACTTCGTTGACGCTCGAACGCTCGGGGGTTTCCTAGATTAATCGTGAGCCGGCGTTTCACCGACGCTATCACTTCCGCGTCTGTGAAACCACGCTCTCTACAAGCTCAACTCCCGAATCCAGCCGACCAGTCTGACATACAGTACTATATTGAATTTTCGTATGATCACATTCTCTTTTTGTGGGTAAAACTCAAGAAAAAAAAATTATTTTACTTGGTTTTTTATAGTTTTATTACAAAAAGTGCATTTTATGATGAAATTGATAAAATAAACAGGAATTTCTTGACATTTCGCATAGAAAAATACCGCGAATCGGCAAATTTCCCTTGAATAAGGCTCCAAAAAAATCCGCGAAGTCATGAATCCGCGATAAACAAACTGCGAAGTAGCGAGGGATCACTGTATTTCATAAGGCCACAGCTTTGGGTAGTGATCAAAAGAATATCATGGTAATGCGCGGAATAAGTTTTCTCCGCAGGGTGGCTGTGCTCTCCATTAGAGATAGGCTGAGTAGCTCGGTCATCCAGGAGGGGCTCAGAGTAGATCCGCTGCTCCTTTACATTAACTCATTAACTGCCATTGATGACAACAGTCATCATCTTAAATCCAACCGTTCACTGCCATTGACGACCAAAGTCGTCATTTGCATCGTCTTAATGTGTGGGCGCCGGAACAAGCCCCCGCACCGTGAGAACAAACATTCCAGCTCTAAAGCTGATCTTCATCTGTGTACGTCATACGTCACGTGACCAGGAAGCAGAAAATCCATGTGTTAGGAGATTGTTTTGGGTTGTAAAAAAGTGAGGCGCAAACCGGAAAAGCTCCTGCTGATCACAATTCGACAATGAATTATGAAAGAACGGATAATGCTCGAAACGCGCTGATTCTTCCTGATGTAGAGGTGAGTCTCCTGTTTGTTTTAATAGTTTTGGCATTGACATCATCATAGAGCACAACGTTCTGTAAGTCTTTAAAAATACTATGAAAACACAGAAAAATGCTGGTAGTGAAGGGCTTTACTGATCAGGAAAAGGCTGGCAGTGAATGAGTTAAGAGGAGCCAGTTAAGGTTGCTCGGGCATCCAATTAGGATGCCTCCTGGATGCCTCCCTGGTGAGGTTTACCAGGCACGTCCAACCAACAGAGAAGACCTAAAGGAAGACCCATGACATGCTGAAAGGACTATAGCCTTTTTTCCATGAACACTACTCAGAGTAACTTGGACCGACGCAGCTCGGCCTGACCACAGTTCCCAAGAGCACGGTTCTGTATTTTCCCTCTACTTTCTCCTCTATTTTTAGTACCTGCTCCATTGAGGTATCTGGCAAGGCAGAGTCAGGCGGCATTGTGATTCTGGCGGCTGACTGGCTAGGGGGAGGAGTCACTGGTTCCTCCGGAGTTTTCTGTCTTCTGTTTCACTGCCTGGAGCCATTTCCTGGTTTAGAGTCTGAGCAGAATGTCCAGCACCACCATTTTTCAGCTGAGTTGTGTTTCTGTGGAGCATAAGTTACCTTACACTGTTTACTGATCACCTCATGTTGTTTTGTCATGAGTAAAAATCGCACACCCCACCCCCACCGCGTTCCCCTCTGCACCTAGGAAGGACACACCCACTTTCTGTCATGGAGCTGGCATGGGAACAAAACTACACTAAGATGGGCTGACTCACACCACGCCATTCAGAGCTGTTATAGACTGGGTAGCATTCCTGGAAAAAAGGCTATTGTCTTGCGGCTGGTCAGGGAACGCCTTGGGATTTCCCCGGAGGAGCTGGCCCAAGTGGCTGGGGAGAGGGAATTCTGGGCCTCTTTGCTTAGGAGGCTGCCCCCACAACCCGACCCTGAATAAGTGAAAGGGAATGGATGTATGGATGGTTTCATAAGACCCATCGGTCCATTTTCGTCCACTTGTCCCTCTCCTCCCAGCTGAACGTGCCCTGTAAACCTCACCAGGGAGACGTCCAGGTGGTATCCTAACTAGATGCCCGAGCCACCTCAGCTCGAGTGCCAAACCACAGGTCCAAGCTAAGTCACAAGTCTTTATTTTTGTAACTTTAGCAAAAGTCTTAGACTCATGTCCCTTCTCAGTGAGCTATGATTAACAGTCAACAATGTCAAGTTTTGGACAGAGGATTTCACTTTCAGAAAAAGGCAAAGGATCAAACTCTAAACTTTTGGAAAGACTTAAAAATCAGCATAGCAGGAAGTTCATCTCCTAAAGCAAAGTATTACAAAAGAACACAGTACCAGAAGGGTTGGTACGAGGGCAACGTCTATGCCAAAAGTCAACATTTCTAAGGTAATACTTTTTAAAACACCATCAGTTAAAGCACAAAGTAATTATTATTGATATTTCCAAACATGTACATATAATGTTGAAAAAGACTGCTTTCAAATTAAACAAAGTTCAGCTAAATCTATCTGACATGATAGTCCTTCTGGATGGGCGATCGAGATGAAGTCAGTCTTGATTCTCTTCAAGTTAGAAAAGGGAATGATCCCCTTATTTATTCTAACCTCTCTTACCGGAACCAGAAGGATGAGGTATTTTGGTGCCAAAGGTCCCAGCAGTTCTGTGTAACTGGACACTAGAAGGAATCACCCTAGCTTGTTTGGTTGGATTGTTGCGTTGATCTTCTAGAGAACTGAGTCTCCTGTAGTTTGCAGCCGTATTTGTTTTTGACCTTAGTTAATGTAGAAGCATCCAGCTGCTCCAGCCGTGCCACAGCAACAGCTGCCCTGGGCTTCACTCTCAAAGGGGAGTGTGCAGGGTCATGTCTTCACAGAGAGGACATCTGCTCCAGTCACACTCCCCATCATTATCCCTGGTGTTCTAATTTGTTTGTGTCCTTAATGATGAGTGCGACGCAGGAGGCCCAAAAGCCCCATGTCCCTACAGCAGACCAGAACAACATATGCTGCTTGTCACTGTGCACCGGCTTCTTTACTACATGTGTCTTGTTTGCTCTTTTTACCTCCAAAACAAAAGACAAACTGTAGTTCGCCTGAGCCGAGAGGCTCTTCCTGAGGGTTCCTTTCATCAGTGGAAAGCACCTTTCTGATTGCTCCATTTCATTCTCTTAATCTACAGTCTTTGATATGAAGTGGAAGGCTTTTAAGAATCCTCGGACCGCTGTGGTCATGTTCAGTTACATTAGCTCATTTCATCTGATTAGCTTACCATCTTCACAGCCAATATTCATCACCACATGTGGTGCTAAGCACTTCCAGAAAACCCTTTCTCCTCCGAGAGAAAGATACTTTTAATGCTGTTGAGACGTGTGGCGTTCCCGCTGAGAGGCATCGTTCCAGCAGACAGTGTCACCATGCAAAGTATCAGTGCTAAAGAGTCGGCATACATAGTGGGAGTACCCAAGTGTCACTCGCACTGAAGCAAACACGACGCCCGCTGATTGATAGTTGAATGCTAACAGCGCCGACGTGCTAATGTATGCCCAGGGAGATCCAACGCGGGTGACGGCTGCCTGCGTGCGCGGCAGAACAAAACACTTTCATCCATCAGTCCTCGTCATCCTCTCTCAGATCCCCGTGTATATGAACCTTACATCACCCCCTCGTCACCCCTACTCTTTCATGTCCAGTCATGGATGCACTGATTCGTGGTAGAACACTCCTGTGGTGCTCAGAGAGGAACAGACGACCTTGTGTTTGGAGGAATGAATGATCACGGTGAATATGCATCACCTCCATTTTTTTCTCTTACCTTATTTAAAATCAAGCAAAGACGTTTTCAGTCTGGAAAGGGGGATTTCCAAGACTTTTGTTTAAGCTAGGGTGAGTTTTCTTTCGGTGCACATCCTCTTTTTCTCCAGTTTTTCTACAATGGAGGCAGGTATCTGAATGTTGAGCTCCTGCTATAACTACATTTGCCATTAGGGGGAGCTCAAAGGCAAAGTGCCTAACACAAGCCTCAGGATGGATCAGCAGACTGAACCAGACTGGGATCCATTTTCCTGCACCTCAGATAGAAACAAGCTTCCACTACCTTGTCTTTTAGAAGTTTGGGATTCGAGGATTGCTTTGATGCCTTTTTTTCTTATTTTGTTTGTAATTGAAAAGAAATGCACACATTTTTCATCTTAACTAAAAATCTTAAAGTTGCACGATCAGGCCCCACAATTAATGCAGGGCTGCTTAAGATCTGCATCAGAACCAGTTGTGATGAGTCAGTTACGCACACCGACCCTCTGATTGCTTCACTGACTGAGTCATAGTGAGTCTTCCTTCACCACTACAAGCTGCTGAGATCCGATGACTGCATGACTCATGTGGCACCTGACCCGTGGCGATTGGTTTTAGCTGCTGTGAGTTGACGTATCACATGTTCTCCATTTTGAGGGGCTTTTTCGGGTTTGTCGTGCTAGTAGATGTTTTAGACCATTTTCAGGATGTTCAAAGAGCTGTTACACTGAAAAGAGCCAGTTGTACACTTTTCACAAGTGGACGTCTCACAATTGCTACGTTTAAGATTCTGCAGGATGGGTGTTCTTAAATAAAGAAAGCTTTTCCCGCTGAAATGGGCTTGTCGTTTGTGTCCATGGCACGGTTTCCTCTGTAGCTTCCGGTGCTTTATTTCATTTCTCACACACCTCTGTACTGTCTGCTGCAGCAGCAGCTATTAGCGACGCCTTGCTATGACAATGACTCTTTCTCCATCTCTGGCTCCTGCCGTCCATCTCAATCCTTCTCTTTCATTGTCTGTTTACTTCTCTCCATCGCCCATGCAGCATCACTCTTTGTCCTCTGGCAACGAGCTACTCTGTCTTCTCCCTTCTGTGCTGCCTTCCCTCTCACTCATCCTCTCGACTGGCAATAACAGCTTATCTTCTCCCCTCTCCCCCTCCCCTCCTCTCTATCTTGCAGGGCACATCGGATCCTCAGTGCGTTGTCTGGGACTATGGCAACCCGTAAGTTGGAAATGACGCTCGTGTGTGCATGTCTGTTTCTGCGTCTGTTGGAGTGTTTGTTTATCTGGTGTGTGTCCATGCCCAGTTAGCTTCATTTCAATGATGAACTGAGCTCTAATGAAAACCTCACAGTCTTGTTAATTAAATCACAGGAAAAAAAACACACAAACACGATTACCACTTCACCACTTTTGAGTTGAAAGGTAACTTGAGCGTCTCCGGAGCACTCTTTTCTCTTTACCTTTTTCACATCGCAGTTTAATTTACCGTTCTTTATTTTACTGTGAGCATTACTTTCATTTGGGCAATCGACTTGTTTTCGGTCAGGACCAGGAAGAGATAGCTTCTGTCTAATGGGTTTGCTCTTTTTTATCCACGCTGGCCATAGACAGCTTGATTTTATTTGCTCTGAATGGAAGACCAGCTAGCCAACAACACCGTCTAAAGCAGCACAATTGATCTGACTGTTGAAGCCATTAACCCACATGGAGACTGACACAGTGAAACTTGTTTGGGACCATTAAACAAGGCGTTGGGTCCTGGAAGGAGGAAAGATGACCCATGCGTTTGTCTGTAATGAAGAGTGGCATAGTCTAGATGTAGTCTTATCGAGGACTTTTCATTTGACTGACTTGGTTAGAGCTCATGAAAATATTATGTGGACTGTTTGTGTTTCGTTAAATTTGGATTGAAAGGATGTTTTTCAGAAAATCAACCGTCAGTCAAACATGGCGGTGGGATGGTGATGTCTGACCTTTGACCATAAAGTGGTTGCTCTTGATGGAAAACAATATCCAGTTGTTGGTAATTGAAAAAGTAGTTAGAGATATATTTTCAGCCGACTATTTGCTTCTAATTTGCAGTTAGCATTGTTAGCGCTACATTAGCCTCTAGCCTGCTTTGCCTTATATTATTGTGAAGCAATAATAATAATACTAATAATAACACACCGTGGCTTCTTAGGGGTACAAGACATAACTTCTGGACCAATTCTGTTTACTGGCTTCAGCTTTTTAAACAACTCTGGAGCTTTTTGTCTGTTGGTGTTGAATTACAAATGCCGGTGCTGCAGCGTTAGCTCGGCGCAAACTCGACAAACTCACAGAGTGTAAACAGTAATTTTGTCCCTGGCGTATTTTTCATTAGGAGAAAAACTGCCCCCCCCCCCCCCCCCCCCCCCCCAGCCAACTGAGAATAAAATGTATTTTTTTATCAACTTTCCTCCAACATGATTGAGACATTGACTGTTTTGTGATCATTTCCCTGTAGGATTCTCTCATGTTGCTACTTTAGGTGACAAGGACAGAGCCGTTGGTGTAGATATTTATTTTTTTACCAGTACTTTGCCTTTTTACTTGTCCTAAACATTCATTTCTTTTTCAAAATAAAAAAAAAGGTTGAATGTGAGAAAAAAGTTAACATTTACAGGGAAGAATGCTTACATTTGGGTTTCCACAGTGAAGCAGCAGGTTTCTGCTCCATTAGCTCTCTGATTTATATTCAGTAAAAGAGTTTGTTATGCGTCATTCTTAATTTACCAAATTTAAGCAGTTCTGCTACTTGATGTTTTACAGCAGCTTGTAAAGCAAAATGACATCCAACAGCTAATCTTTAGCAAACTAGTTCATTTAGTTACTTTGATAACTAAATAAGAGGGGGCTAATGTGATGTAGCAACAACCCCAGGCTCTAGCAGCCGCTGGGCAGACAGCAGACAGTAAAGTCTTATTGTGTGTCTGATGCAGTTTGATTAAATTACAACATAGTGAGAACCACCGACCAGAAATGCACCACCCTGGTAAAGAAGGTTGTTGTGGCAAATGTCTTTTAACTTCTTGGCATATTTAGATTTCTGCTACATAATTCTGACACGTGAGTTACTTGATAGGAAATATCAGTTATTGTAAAGATAAAGCTGTTTTCCAAAACGACATGATAACATGTGTCAACGGTTCTTGGTGTGTGGATCCAGACGTATCTAGATGCCGGACAGCGTGGCTCCCCCTCTGTTTCAGATGAAAGCCCAGATCTGCACCCCCTCCTCACGGACAACACTAAAATTATAATGACGCTTTCTCTTTGAACTTGAGTGGTAGAAGTTTTGTGGCAATGTTTAAACACTGCTGGTCCATTTCAGGGTGAACTGAATTTGACAGAACAAGGCTTACATGTTGCTCATTATGCTCACTTCCTGAGGCACTACTCATTCTAGGTCATCATCTCGCTGAACTTTAATTACTGCAAACCACTTTGCCGCATATGTTCTAAAAAAGCCACTAGAACTGACAATACTGAATGCTCCCACACACTGTCAGGAGAACATGCAAATCCAGCCTCAATAACACTTACTATGAATATTTTAATTATACTTTTAGCCAGTATTACCGGCTGTGTAAGGAAGCAGTTATAATAATTATCCCAGCATGCCAGATACAATGTATAAAGCCTGAGATGTGTTGTTTGGTTTCACCATCGATTCATCCGAATTATTTAATTTGGGATAAACACTGAAGCTGCATCGTGATGCTCCTGAGTGAGGCAGAGGGGCGTTTGTGAATTTGTATTCAGTGTGGTCATTCATAGGCTTCATGTGAAACAGTTTTTTTTTTCTTGTTTCTTCAAAGTAATTGCTCTTATCTTTTGAAGTGGGATTCTCTTCAAAGGCTATGAACAATTCATACCTTACCTGCTGCAGATGGCTCAGGAGTCAAGAACCTTTATCAGTGTTGTGGTCAGTCATCGTCACCCTATCCCAGACGGTCTTTGCTTTAGGGAGAGATCCAGGCGTACTCGTCTGAACTGGTGTTCTCACGTCCTTGTGAACGGTCCAAGTGCTGTTCCAGTCTTAAGTACGTATTATGGCAAGTACTCTCGGTGTTCTTGCTCCACCCATTGTGTCGAGGATGTATCAATGCTTCTTTCTGTGGTCTTGGAAGGGAAGGTATCCCATAATGCATTGTGTTGCAAACCGTTGTACCCCAAACAGAAAACTGCGGAAGAGAATGTTCATAACTGTAGTGTTTTAATATCAAAATACACGTAATTTAGTTTAAATAAATGTATGTAAAGTTGTCTGCTATTACAGTTATTGGGTGTAACCTGTAAATTAGCTGTGTGTGCTTTTTAGACTCATGATACCTCAAAATGCTAATTAGCTAACCCGCTATCAAAGTAAAAGCAGTGGTGCCTTGAACAGCCCTGTTTTGACAAAAAAATAAATGTATTTATTTCATTTAACAGCAGGAAAAGCTGATATTTTATCAATTTTGATAAAAAGTGGACAGAATTATATACAAATAAAATCTATTCACTGTTCATTTGTTATTTACGGGACAGATTGGGCTTTTATCATTATTTTAGGTCATTTTTTAACTGTAGGAAAAAGCAGCGCTTGTTGCCATGATGTAACAAAGTACGGTTCTGTTCTAAACGCTGTCCTCATCCTCCCATACTCAGTAGAAGGGACCTTTTGCTGTACCTGACAAAAACGTACTTGACAAGAACACAAAAACTTGCTAGTATTTTTAGGTTTTGAGAAACGGTCCCAAACTGCATTCCACCTGAAACTTCCCTAAATAATAAACATTCCTGGTGGAGACAGGGACTTCTCCCATAGTTTTCCTATAATTTTGCATTAGGGCCAAATAAGAGAAATGGCATACAATCAAACATGGAGGTAAACTACAAAATGATGTAGTACTATAGTTTATGTTTATGTATTTAGCAGACACTTTTGTCCAAAGAGACTTACAAGTGATAATGAAGCCAGCAGGTTAGCCTTGAGGCTAACAACAAACACTAATCAGTCAATCCTAGGTGGCAGTGAGGCAGCATGGTGCATCATAGAGGGAAGTTCACATGGAGTGTGCAGCAGAGTGGGGGACAGGTGCAGGGATGGTCCAAGTTTAGAAGATGCTCTCTGAAGAGCTGGGTCTTCAGGAGTTTCTTGAAAATTGACAATTCTACTCCCAGGGAAAATATTTTCCAAAGTCCAAACATTTACTGTGGTCAGTAAAGTCACAGACATGCAAACAAACTGAGAAGTACGTGATAAAAGTACACCCTCAATTATAGCAGTTAAAACAAAACAGCCACGTTCAGAAGCACAGTTACCTCAGGGTATCCTTGAAAGTAACATCAACGAGAGGGACTCGACAATCCGAGTTTAAACTAGATATTTCCTCTGCCGATTCTCTTCTCCGTGGCACTAACAAGCCGGGATCAGCAGGTACAGAAGGAGTTTAGGCCTTTAAAATAACCTTAAATCTCAAAAATCGTCATGGAAAAGCAGAGCAGTTATCGTAACATACCCATGATCTACTTCTCAGTTACATTAGGTGTCATGCAGTCCTACGGTTAAACACTCCACAAGTTTGTCCGAGCTGTCTCGACTAGAGATTGTTTTGCTACTCGTGTCATGTTCATGTTAATTACGAGTGCAATCGCGGTGACATTATTTTTCTTACCAAATATGCTTGTCAATGCCAGTAAGTTGTACATGAAAATAATAGACGGTGACAGGTTTGACATATGATGCTTCGACAGAGCAAATGGATTTTTGTCATGTCATGTGTCTTTGCCTACGTACGTCTGATCTCTGAATTGTGTGTACTGAAACTCTAATTTCCCTCTGGGATTAATAAAGTATCTATGAATTGAATTGACTTGTCAGGGGACCGTCACATAGGGTCTCCCTATTTGCTCTGACAACAAGACTGGTGGCAGGAAACATGGCGGTCAGCCTGGGCATCAGATCCCAACGGCCACCCTCTGGCCACTGAAGTGCACAATGTGAGTGCAGGTTTGTGGAAAAACAATAAGGTACCTTATCAAGCTACCACTCTCTATCAAGGTGGGAGAGGAACAAAGCTGGGCAAAGTCAATTAACTAGCTCGCAGATTACAGCTGCAATCAAATTAAATTTGCAGACATGAGGAGGGCAGGGAGCCAAACAGAATATAAAGTGGAACCAAGCAGTGTCTATCTACATATCACAGCTAG